TGTGCCCAACTCTTCAAAGGCCAAAATAAAAAATGTCAGAGTTTGGAGTAAGGAAAGGTTTATTGGCCGAGAAGGTGCCAACTGAGAAGATGGAAGACTTAATGGTACCTCAAATCTCTCTTCCTGTTGGACTAGACTGAGGAATTTTGAGGGGTTGGGAGGAACAGGTATGGGGAAGTGCTGTGGGGCAAGTTTTAGCTGAAGGACCTTGGAACTTGGCTGTTTATGATCAAGGGGCATCAGCACCAGAGCTTCCTGGGCAGTGGACTCTGCTTCTGAAGGTCATGTCCTGGTCCGTTAGGGACGGGGAGGGGAGGGGCAAGGTTTTGGTTGTGGGTGCAGCTGGAGGTCAAAGGTCAAAGTTCTCTGGTCTGTGAAACCTCTGGCTGCCTGACATGAGGTTGTGGTCCGTTATCTCTTAAAAGCAGCTCAGTCTCTTGTTAAACAGGATAGGGCCACTCTGAGCTGGTCCTGTGGTTGCATAATCACACATTCGTGTACAGAGCCCTAGTGAAAACAAACACAAATTCCCTATCCTTCCTACTCCTCGTTTCCAGATTGCCCAATCATTAAGTGGATTATTACTGTTGTGATTTTAGTGCCTGGACTAAAAATTTTTTTAAATTGGTTTTTAGAGAGAGAAGAGGGGGCAGTGGAAGACAGGGAGGGGGAGAGAGAGAAACACTGATGCAAGAGACCAACACCCATAGGCTGCCTCCTGCACGGTCCCCATTGGGAATCAAACCATCAATCTTTCAGTGCACTGGACGATGCCCAACCTAGCCACCCCGGTCAGGGAGCCTAGAGTTAACTCAGTTCCTATTTCTTTTGCAGCCACTTCATCTTGTTAGTTAGTCGAAATTCATTAAACTTCACCAAGGAGCAAAATGTGTAGGAGACAACATTCTAGACCCGAAGTCAGTAGACTACACTCCTTGGTTCCTCATTCTTCCCTTCCAATCATGTAACTGCTCTGATCTCAGTTTCCTCATCGATAAAATAAACAGTCCTAAGGTTCCGACCAGTTCTAACTTCCCACGATTCTGAAAGAACCAGGATGCTGCTGTTATTTTATGGGAACTTAAACTGTAACTCTTCAACTAGTAACTCCTCTCTGATCTCCAGCTGTATCTTTCTCCCAGGTTTAAATCTCCCATCTTCTGGGATCAGGCACAGGTAAAGGGTTTCACAAAGGGATGGATGGAAAGCACATAGAATAATAGCTCATCTTGTTGGCATTAGGAGGAACATGAAGACTAAAAGGAAAAAATCATTTTCAGGAAGGCTCTTCATATCCTATATAATAAAAGCCTAATATGTAAGTGTCCAGTCATCTGTTGACTGGGTCAACTGTTCAACCAATCAAAATGTAATATGCTTATGATATGCTAAGACCATTCAACCACTTGCTACGACGTGCACTGACCACCAAGGGGCAGATTCTCTGACCCGTAGGTTAGCTGGGGTCTGGCCTGTGGAGACTGAGCGAGATGGGCGGGACATGCCCTGGAGCCTTCTCAGGGTCCCTCCCTGGTCCCTCCTTGGCCCCAATCGTGCACTGGTGGGGGGTCCCTCGGCTTGGCCTGCACCCTCTCACAATCTCACCCTCTCACAATCCCCTGGGGGGATGTCAGAGAGCCGGTTTCATCCAGACACAGGGCTCACGGCTGGAGAGTGCTGCTGCAGCAGGGCGATCCTCTCTGGATGAGGACTGGTTGGGCCTGAGCCCGAGGCAGGTGCCGAGGCCCGGATGAGTGAGAGCAGCAGGGAGAAGCTGCAGGTGGCATTGGGCTGCAGGTTTCAGCCCGATCCCCACAGGTCACCTTGAGGGACCCCACCTGTGCACAAATGTGTGCACCGGGTCTCTAGTGATTATATAAAGAAACATAGTGCTATAAAAAGATTTTATAGCCACATTGTGGCTAAAATGTGAAGAAAAAGAAGTCATCCTGATAACAGACCCTCCCACAGGAGAGCTGCCTTAGTTGTTTGAAACTGCTTCCTACCATCTGTTTTTGAACTTTTTCTGGTATTTGGTGACTTTTCTGTTCACACGGCTGTTATCTCCATTTCCTTGAGTGAAAATTCTTTGGTTTATTGAGTTTGTTATTTTCCTTGCATGATATTGACCCTACTCAGATGTTTTATTATCCTTAGGGTGTACCCATGACTCAGATCTGTACAATCAGAATCTTTCATACCGTTGGTGTGAGTGTTTAAGGGATACACGCATGACCCAAAAAAACAATGGATTGTTAACAGAACCTCAGGACCATGTAGGAAGAGCTCGCCCAGGATTGAAGCTAACACAAAGAAAGCCACGTCTAGAGATGAGGAGAAACAGATCACCTGATTACAATATGTTGTGTGAATACCTGGAGCCCACAGTCCACGCCCTGGACTGTCAGTCACAGCCAGTAAATGCCCTTTTGATTTAAACAAAAGCCACGTTAAATAATAATTTGTCACTTATAACTGAAATCAGTCAAGCTAGAATTTGTGAACCTGTAGAGAAAGCCCACAGTTCCCCATTTCTTTACATCAGTAGGTACCCAAGGAACCTTCCTAAAATTGAGGTAATCGCAATGCTGCAGGAAAGGAAGGTTCCAGCACATTGCTGAGACATGGCCAGTTTGGCTCCAGACCACGACAATCAAATATATATCACAATGAAGTGAATCTTATGACTATTTTGGTTTCCCAGGGCACATAATAGTCTGTTTACACTATGCTATCTATAGGCTATTAAGTGTGCAACAGAATCATGTCTAAAAAACAATGTACAAACCTTAAAAAATATTTTAGCCCTGACCAGTTTGGCTCAGTGGATAGAGCGTCAGCCTGTGTGGATTGAGGGTCCCAGGTTCGATTCCAGTCAAGGGTATATACCTTGGTTACAGGCACATCCCCATATTTTCCATCTTAAACTGTATCTTAAGTTAAAGGATTTCCTCATCCTTTCACCCCTCCAAAGTTTCAGCAATTTTCCCTGAAAAGAAGAGCAAAATCCCAAATTAAAAAAAAATTTGTTTTGTTTTGCCTGTTTCTATGCGTTTCTTTTGGCCTGACAGCGAAGGGGGCAATATGATGTTCATTTAATAGTTGAATTTTTATTATCCCATCATGTATATAGGGTGGGGCAAAAGTCTAATAGAAAGTTTATTCTTATATATGGGGTATTCTTTTCTTTTCTTTTTTTATTGATTTTTTACAGAGAGGGAGAGAGATAGAGCCAGAAACGTCGATGAGAGAGAAACATCGACCAGCCGCCTCCTGCACACCCCCCACCGGGGATGTGCCCGAAACCAACATACATGCCCTTAACTGGAATCGAACCCGGGACCTTTCAGTCCACAGACCGATGCTCTACCACTGAGCCAAACCGGTTTCTGCTCTTAATGATTGTATTATTTTCCAAATAAACAACTTAAACTTACTTTTGTCCCACCCTGAATAAATTACATGGCTTTTTAAAATGGTTATCTAAGTGACCATTTTTTTCTTATTCTGATTCAAGCACTTTTCAAAATTTAGTAAAAGGGGATTTTTCATTTCATAGTTTAAGCTTATTATATAGCACCTATTTTAGCTTATTGTTAACCTTACATTATACGTATACCTGAAATTGTTAACAGAGAATAACCGAGCAGGCGGTACATGTTAGGTAGATGTTAGGGGCATCTAGATGGAGGGGGAAGGAGCTCTAAGAGGGGCAGGTGTGGGCGGTGGACACCCCAGCCCCTTTCTCCCCATGCCGCTCCCCGCTCCCCGATGCTGTGCAGCTGCAGTCACTGTTTCAGCAAACAGATTCGGGACGTCCTGTCCTCTGCGCGGCGTGGGCACCGCCAGCATCTCCCCGGGGGCGGCGTGTGCACCGCCAGCATCTCCCCGGGGACGGCGTGGGCACCGCCAGCATCGCCCCGGGGGCGGCGTGTGCACCGCCAGCACCTCCCGGGGGCGGCGTGTGCACCGCCAGCATCTCCCCGGGGGCGGCGTGGGCACCGCCGGCATCGCCCCGGGGGCGGCGTGGGCACCGCCAGCATCGCCCCGGGGGCGGCGTGGGCACCGCCGGCATCGCCCCGGGGGCGGCGTGGGCACCGCCGGCATCGCCCCGGGAGCGGCGGGGATCGCGGGCGACCTGCGGAGCCACCCGGAGCCCACCCTGCGGGGAAGGACGGGTGTCAGCCCGGGCCCCGCAGGGCCGCCGGCGCCGGGCTAGGCGTTATTCCCGTCTGTGTTTGTGTCCCCGGACCCGCAGGATCCGAAGGTGGAAGCGATTATCCCTCTGCGCCCGGAGAGGTCAATGGGGGTAAAAAAGGGTCACACGTAAAACTTTAAACAATAAGAATTTAAATTAAAACGAAAACAGGAGGCGGGCTTTGGGGCGGGCTCCGCTCTAAACCAGCGTCCCGGGCGGAGGCGCACGCCGAGCGGGGCTTGGCTAAGGTGACCGGAGCGTCCCGCTTTGGGCGGGACAGTCCCACTTGCTAACAGTTTCCCCCGCGTCCCGCGGCATTTAAAAAAAAATCCCGATTTCTGGAAAGATTGGAATGATTGCAAAGATTCTTCCCAAAAATTGGGACTTTTTAAAAACGCCGCGGTTCACAGGGGGGATTTTTAGAAAGCGGGACTGTCCCGCCAAAAGCGGGACGCTCCGGTCACCTTACGCTGGGCCCGCCGGGCCGCTGCCGGGAGCCCGCGGGCGCCGGGCGGCCTGGGGGAGGGCGCGGAGGGCGGCGTCACAGAGCCGCCGAACGCTGGGTCGGAGCGTGTCCCGGGGCCAGGCACCCGCGGGCGGAGCACGAGCCCGGCCGCGCCGCCCTGCCCCGCGCCGCCCTGCCCCGCGCCGCCCTGCGCCGCGCCGCGTCCCGGGAGCGCCCCGCACGGCCCGCGGAGTCTGAGCGTCGCGGCGCGCGCGCCGCAAAGCGTCCTGGGAGGGAGAGCGGCGCCGGAAGGACGCGCGCGTGCGCGGCGGCGGCGAGGTGATAAAAGGGCCGCGGCCGGCGGCGGGCGGAAGTGGGCGGGCCGCGGCGGGCGGAAGTGGGCGGGCGCTGTTGTTTGGGGCCGGGACCTCCGGAGGGGCGTTCTCCCGCCGCAGGCCGCCGTGACAGGGCCGCCCGCCCGCCCGCCCGCCCGCCCGGCGCCCCCGCCCGCTCCCCCGGGCGCAGCGTCCGCTCCGGCCTCCTCCGCGACCCGCAGGCCCACAACATGGCGCAGGAGGTGCCCGAGTTCCTGAGCCAGAACCCGCGGGCGGCCGCCTGGGTGGAGGCGCTGCGCGGCGACGGCGAGACCGACAAGCACTGGCGCCACCGCCGGGAGTTCCTGCTCCGCAACGCGGGCGACCTGGCCCCCGCGGCCGCCGCGGAGAAGGAGGAGGAGGAGGAGGCGGCCGCCGGGAGCGGCGCCCGCCGGCGGCGGCTGCAGCAGCTCGTCTCCTTCTCCATGGCCTGGGCCAACCACGTCTTCCTGGGGTGCCGGTGAGTGCGGCGCCCCCGCCCCGGGCTTGTCCTCGGCCCCGGGGCCGCCGGGAGCGGGAATGGCGGGCGCCCGCCCTCCGGGGCCAGCAGGCGGGCCCGCCGGAAGCCGCGTGCGGAGCGGCCTGGGGCCCCGGGGGTGAGTGGGCGGCGGGCGGCCCTCCGTGTAAGGCGACAGCCCCGATTTTTAAATTTATGTTTCCCCATTTTATTATTAAGGTATTATATGTGTACATATCTCACCATTGTCCCCCCGACACACACACACACTCAATCCCGACTTTTAACAATTTGTCCCGCGCCGTTTTTTTGTTTTTTGTTTTTTTTAAGTCCTAAAGATTCTTTCCAAAAATCGGGACTTTTTTTATTTTTAAAGGGACGCGGGACAGATTGTTAAAAATCGGGACGTCTGGTCCCCTTGCTCTTGTGGCCGGCGCTGAGGTGAAGGGGGACCCGGAGGGGCCCGCCGGCGCCCTTGTTTCCGAGCTTCCGGGAAAGTGCCCGGCGGTTGGTACACTTGCTCGGTTGCAACCAGGAAACGCCGTTCCTGTGGCGTGGTTGGCACCCCCAGAGGTAGTAGCTTAGAGAGAGAAAGAAAGAAAAAAACAACACCTCTTAAAAGTGGCTTTTCCTTCTTTTTCAGGTACCCCCAAAAAGTTATGGATAAAATACTTAGTATGGCTGAAGGCATCAAAGTGACCGATGCTCCAATCCATACCACCCGAGACGAACTGGTTGCCAAGGTGAAGAAAAGAGGGATATCAAGTAGCAATGGTTAGCAGATCATAGATGTGAACATACATAGGAGTTTAGAATATAAGTTTGATGTCATTAGTAATAGTTACTGCTTTTTAACGGCCTGGAATTTCTGTAATGTTAAGTGAAATGTCAAAACTGAATTGTGTGTCTGTGTTTCTAGGCTCTGAATTTGAGTGTTCCTTTAACTGCTTTGAGGTTTTGAAGTGCCAAATGTCTTTGTTGTTGATTTTTTGATATTAGAAATGAATGATGCTCTTTAAGAAATTAATGAAGTTATTTCTCGTGTTTTGTTTATTTTTAAATTAAGGGACCAGGGAAGGCTGCCCTTCTTTTCTTTCTTTTTTTTATTTTTTATTTTTTTTTCTTTTTTTTTATTATTGATTGTAGAGAGAGAAAGAGGAGAGAGAGAGAAACATCCATTGGTTGCTGTTCAGATCACACACACCCTGACTGGGATTGAACCTGCAGCCTGAGATGTGCTCTGCCCGGGAATCAAACCAGCCACCTTTTGATGTCCTGGATGAAGCTCCACCCAACTAAACTACACTGGCCAAGGCCATTCCACCCGTTTTAGAGAAACTACTGGTTCTAAAATATATTTGCCTTGTGCCTTTATTTAAAAATTTTTATTTTATTTTATTGATTTTTTACAGAGAGGAAGGGAGAGAGATAGAGAGCTAGAAACATCGACCAGCTGCCTCTTGCACACCCCCTACCGGGGATGTGCCCGCAACCAATGTACATGCCCTTGACCGGAATCGAACCTGGGACCTTTCAGTCCGCAGACCAACGCTCTACCGCTGAGCCAAACCAGCTTCGGCTGTGCCTTTATTTTAATGAGTATCTATCTTCTGTATTTTTAGCTGATGTATATGAGGTGGACTAGTCACATATCTGTTTTTCTTTCTTTCTTTCTTTTTTTTTAGAAGGGGTAGAAGAGCCAACGAAAAAACGAGTTCTAGAAGGAAATACCAATTCTGCAGTTGAGCAAGATAATGCAAAGATTTCTGCCAAAACAGAACATGCATCAGCTCAGCAGGAAAACAGCTCGGTGTGTGCGGGGTCATCTACCAAACCAGAGAGTGGTGGGACCTCCACCCGGAGCTTTGGCACCTCCGATCAGAGTAGCTCCACCAGTGATGGCGATCAGCCTGCTTCCAGCCAGAGCAGCGGCTCCTCTCAGGTCACAGCAGCAGGGGCTGGCAAGGCTTCTGAGGCAGAAGCCCCAGATAAACACAGCTCAGCAGCATCGATCGTTTCTTCGTTGTTGAAATCCAGTGTGAATAGTCATGTGACCCAGTCCACTGATTCCAGTCAACAAAGTGGATCCCCGAAGAAGAGTGCTTCGGAAGGCTCTTCGGTCTCGGCTTCCCCGAGCCTCTCGGAGGTTGAGGTGCCACTGTTGGGCCCCTCGGGAAGCGCAGAGGTAGAGTTGCCACTGTTGTCTTCTAAGCCGAGTCCAGAGACAGCTTCAAGTGGGTTAACCTCCAAAGCCAGCTCGGAGGCGAATGTTTCCCCCCCGTTTTCTAAGAGCAGCTCTTCCTCAGGCACATCCTCACTGGCGCCCAAGAACAGCACACCAGTAAATACTTCAATGCTGACTTCCAAAAGCACTTCGCAGGTGGCTGCATCGATACTAGCGTCTAAGAGCAGCCCCCAGGCCAGCGGATCTCTGGCTTCCAAAAGCACTTCCTTAGCAGGTGTGTCCCAGCTGGCTTCCAAGAGTAGTTCTCAGACTAGCACATCCCAGTTGCCTTCTAAAAGTGCTTCCCAGTCAAGTGAGAGTGCTGTCAGATTCTCTTACTGCAAGTTAACCAGTGAAGATGTGAAACAGAAGCAGCCCTTTTTCAACAGGCTGTACAAAACGGTGGCGTGGAAGCTGGTTGCCGTGGGTGGCTTCAGTCCCAGCGTGAATCACGGCGAGCTCTTAAACGCGGCCATCGAGGCTCTGAAAGCAACCCTCGATGTGTTTTTCGTCCCGCTGAAAGAACTGGCAGACCTGCCGCAAAGTAAGAGCTCCCAAGAAAGCATTGTTTGTGAGTTGAGATGCAAGTCTGTGTATTTGGGCACTGGCTGTGGAAAAAGCAAAGAAAATGCAAAAGCGGTTGCATCCAGAGAAGCATTAAAGGTATTTCTCAAGAAAAAGGTGGTAGTCAAAATATGTAAAAGGAAGTACAAAGGCAGTGAAATAGAAGACCTAGTGCTCCTTGATGAAGAATCAAGGCCTGTAAACTTACCTCCAGCATTAAAACACCCTCAAGAATTACTATAATATGTGCAAAGTGTCACCGCATACAGTATCTGGTATTGGAAGAGAAAAACTGACTTTTGTATCATATAAACAGGCTTTCACAAATTTTGTATTGCTTTTTTCCAGTTTTGCAGAAAATTTACATTCTAGTTCTCTTCACACAGTAGAAGTTGTAAATAACTTATGGATGACAGTACACATTAAAAGATATGCATTAACAGCATACCAGTATGCTGTTTTATTTGCTGAGGGAAATACTGTCTTCTATTTTTAATGATGCATTAGGTACGGTGTGTAGTTCTGTAGAGTCTTAAAACTTTTGTACTGCTTTTGATTTGGTGAAATTACATTAAGTTGTCTACCATGCTTTTTTTTTTTTTTCCTAGTGAACATCAAGAAAAGGGGACCATAGTATTTGAAAGTCTGAAGCTTAAGGTTTTAAGAATGTTGCCCAGAATGTTGAATGTGTCTGTTAAATAATAAAAGAAAAAATAGTTGCCTCAGACTATTTTTATGAGAAGTTGTAAGCATTTTTTAGATATAAAGCAGTATAAAGTACTTAAGGTTATTTTATTCTGAGGTTGCTTAAAATTCATGATTTTGACCACTGCAGATTCTTTAAGTGTGTTAATAATTTATGTTTTGAGGTAAAAATACAATTTACACTTTTTCTTAAGACAAATGTGGGTTTCTATATTAAACATATTTTGTGACTACTGCTATTAACACATTGATTTGTTTAGATATTAAATGCTTTAAGCTATTTTACCTTTTCAAGAAGTTGTGTTTCTTTTCCCCTTAAGTCAGAGCTAATTCCTACAAATAAGCTTCCTGCTATTAGTCATTGGAAATTACAGCCAAGTAGTTTTTCAAGTTGATATGCAACTTTATGAATAGAGAAGGTACAGTTGGCAAATCTAGAACTGGATGATCTTTTGTTTACAAGTCTTAATACTGGAAGAATAGAGAGCCATGCTCAGCTCTTTAATGAGCTTGTTCAGTTGACATACCTTTGTTAGTAATGAAGTGGAATCCTGTTTTTGTGTCTTGGGTGATTCTAATTGTGTTATTCCATTGTGGTGTATTGTTTCACTTTTCTTCAGTGGCCCAAGATGTCCTAATCATCTTTGTGGCTTTTCTTCTGGCTTTTGAGATACTGCAAGTTGAGCGGTAATAGTGATAATGTAAGAGGAAAATCAAGAAATGACCTTGCTCATGCCAGTAATATTAGAATAGGTAAACAGAACATTAGCACAACTTAAATATGTGGAAGTTATTTCTATTTTATATTCTAGAAATAATAGATAAGATACTTTATGTACTTGAAATAATCATGGGTTGTGAGAAGCAATAGCATGAATGAGTGGAAGCACTTCTAATTACCTCGCTTTCCCTAGTCTTGGAATGTGTATTTTATGGGACGACGATTGTCAGAAAAATGAGCCAAATATTACAAAGAATACATTTCTATAATGTATCTAGGTAGTTTGGTAAATTCCTACATTGGCTTGTTTCAAGTTAACATAAAGGTTATTGAAAATATTTTAAATTCTAGTAACCTATTGATATGGTAGAATTGGAGGGAGCTGCTCTGTGTAAAAACAAAATGCTGTTTAATTTTTAAACATTTACTTGCTATAAACTTAGTAAAGCTTCAGTCCCTTGAAATTTTTTAAAGAATTCGTGATTTAAGAAAAATGCATACTTTATAATTCTTTAATAGTATAGTGCAGAAGAAAGCAAACCTGGGAATCTCTTACTGAGAATCTGGGCTCCCTCTGGGACTTGAGCCTTTAAACGTCATCTGTAAAGTAGGACTAATAGCTGCCACAGAGAGCATGGAAAATTAAGCTAGATAATATATTGAAAGTGCCCACTGTAATGCAGTATTCCTTAGTTTATTAACTGCTTAGACATGTGTACTGATTTCCTCATAGCCTTATGAGTAGCTGTGCTCATTTAGCCCATTTTTCAGATGAAGAGACTGAAAAAAGTAATTTGGTTAAAGATTAATTTCACACCCCTATCTGATTCCAGAGCCCAAGCTTTTACTTGATGTTGTATTGCTTACCTTCTCTAAATTGTAAATTTCTTGAAAATCCCCCTCAGACTGATTTTCAGCTAGTTAGTTGTTAGTGACCACATCTTCAAAGCTTCAGTCCCTTGAAATGAGTCACATCAGTAGCTCTTTATTAATGCTTCTCCTTAGTACTTGCCTGTCTTAAATATTCTCGACTAGGAAATTATTCCTTATGGGTGCAGTTGAAGTTTGTTTTAAAAATCCTAAAATTGCAATCAGGTTTAGTGAGTAAAATAGGTTATTAAGATAGGAAACAATTAGACAAGACAATGTCCTGAGATTGATTTTTCTTAACATTGTTAAAATCAAATTTTTTTTTTTTTAATGGTCAAGTTAGAAAGTTGGGCCCTAGCTGGTTTGGCTCAGTGGATAGAGCATCAGCCTGCAGACTGAAGGGTCCCAGGTTCAATTCTGGTCAAGGGCACTGCCTGGGTTTTGGGCTTGATCTCCAGTAGGAGGTGTTGCAGGAGGCAAGCTGATCAATGATTCATTAATGTTTCTATCTCTTCCCCTCTGAAGTCAATAAAAATATATATTTTTAAAAGTTAGAAAGTTGACTTTGAAGAATGGTGGTGTGGTGAATTTTTAACCCAAATTCTTGGGGGCTGCTGGTGCTGCCATTGGCTGCAATAACTGTCATAAGGCTATATCTTCCCTACTTCCCATTCTCAATTCCTGCAGCACCGCTTTGGACTATGAGCAGGAGTGGGGTTCCTTCTGCAACAGGTATTAGAGTGGATGTAAAAGGAAATTCATCTGTTTACTACAAAATGAAACATCTATTTTTAAATAATATACCCTATTAGAATTTATAATTAGTAGGGACTCAAGGCTTAAGGGACCATTACATAAATTAACTAACACTAAAAGCTACCATTCATTTTTAATTGTGAAATACAGGAGTCCATGAGGTGTATTATATGTTTAGTCCAATAATTATTGAATGTCCATATAGCATTTACATAGGTCAAAGAACAGAACTATCAGCAATTCAAGAACTCGCCTGTGAACAGCTACTGTTACTTGAATACCCACAATATGTTGATGTTTTGCATGTGTTAGGCTTCCCAAAGCCTGTCGGGTGGGTTGGTATTGGTAGTGTGTTACAAATGAGGGGACTGATGACGGTTATGAATTGTTTCCCTCAGTTCACAGAACAGGTAAATGTTGAAAAGAGGATGAACAATGACTTGGTTCTAATTTGGGGCACCGAATGTAAACATTGAGACATGCTGTCCCAGATTTGTTTCCTATGTTGCAGAAAATAAGTGTAATTTACCCAGGAAATTTGGAAAAATTTTATTTAAATCAGGAAACTTCTAAAGGAGTAACTACTCAAATATGTATCTGAAATAATCATTGCAAAATATTTCCTAGACAGTCTACTTGTAGAATGCAAAGGAACAATTTACCGAGGCAATGATACAGTCAAAGGTGTAATCAATAGTTGGAACAGGTAATCCTCATTGCTCTTCACCATTTGCTTTTTAAGTACTTTCCTACACTAACTAAGGAAGACATGGTTCACGTGAAGTCAAAACTAATAGAGGTGCATGGAGGCATTAACCATAAGTACTGAGGGATTTAGTTATCACTCAAAACCTGCAGTTTGGAAATCAATATGGGGTAAAGCATGTGCACTTTTCTGTACTCAGGTTTCAAAACTTTGAGTAAATGCGGTTAACAAGAGAAATATAAGTAAAATAATACTATTTTGAAATTATTCCTTTTCCCTATAATTCACGTTAGTTAGCAGGCATTTCCTATTATGACTCACATAGGAAAAGAGAAGGATAATGTGACTACAGAAGTCCCCACCAGAGCTAGTGAGGAAGTGAAAGGCACTCATCCGGCCTGGGAGATGGTGAGAAGTGTAAGGGGAAGCAGGCATTTGAGACGGTCGGTCCTGACTTACTCTACAACATGAACTTCACTTGTGTCTGAATGGCAGCGGTGGAAGTACAGTTTTCACTGATTGTGCCTCCCTGGCTTACCCCAAGTATACTGATAAAGAATGCATCACTCTGTAGGAGCTTCCAAGAGAAAAAGGACAAGGCTTGAGTAAGAGATACCAAAGGCATCAGGAACTTAAATACAGAGCCATTGAGTTGCACACCACCAGGGGGCACCATTCACATGAAATGTGATATTATTTGATACAATGGATAATGTCTCTTGGAGTTTGGGAATCCCTGCAATTGCCATATGAGTAAACTTAGGAGAAAAATCTTACTTTTAAAAAGTAATTTGAGCCCAGCCAGCGTGGCTCAGTGGTTGAGCGTTGACCTATGTATGAACCAGGAGGTCACAGTTTTATTCCTGGTCAGGGCACAGGCCCAGTTTGCAGGCTCAATCCCTAGTGGGGGGTCATTCAGAAAGTGGCTGATCAATGATTCATTGATATTTCTATATCTCCCTCTCCCTCTCTGAAATCAAAGTACACATTTTAAAGTAATTTGAATTAAATATTGGTTCTGGGAAGCATGGATAGCATATAAATTCTAACAAACTTCTTGGAGGTAGCATATGCTAAAGGTATTTGTTAATGCTGGGGGCACTATAAATGCTCAATAACAAATTAGTTTTTCCAACATTCTATGTAGGGGATTATTTTAAGACGGTAGCCTAAAATAAAATTATATCAAATGAAGTAAGGCTGCTTGGGTGAGGTTAAGGATTTTTTCTCTCTACTCACAGACTTTGGGGGAATTTCAGGAACCAGGCAGATGAAGAATTGTCAGTTCAAGAATGGAATAAAACTCAGACTGCTTTGTGGTCTCCTACAGATATTTCCTCAATTACACCGTGTGCTTCTATACATTTGATGTACACCTATCCTCTCTTGCTCAGTTTCCCTTTCGTCTTTTTCTTGGCTCCATTAATTTTTTTTTTGTCACCTTTTGCTGATGTAAGCTAATGTCAGTGCCTAAACATTTTAAGATTTTTACTGTCCGCAACCTCAGGAGATAACTTCAGAAGTCAGATGCCCTATAAATTTCAATGTGATGTTGGTTCTGGGGTAATTCGTGGAAAAAAAAAAAATTGCTGACCCCTTTTGATCTCAGTATAAAACAAGATGGGAAGCTTTACATAAAAAATAATAAAAGGTCAGGTCAATTCTGTTCCCAAGAAACGGGTTTGTGAAATTTTTGTAGACTTTGGTGGTTCTTTAGAGCAGTGTTTTTCAACCTTTTTTGGGCAAAGGCACACTTATTTCATGAAAAAAATCACGAGGCACACCACCATTAGAAAATGTTAAAAAATTTAACTCTGTGCCTATATTGACTATATATAAAGTAATTCTCTTGAATAGGAATCAAATAAACACAAAGAAAGTATTTTATAATTACTTTATTATGAAATATTAAGTAAACAAAATAGTGAAAAATTATAAAATTCTTGTCTTGTCTGCACCTACGGCACACCAGGCAACATCTCGCGGCACACTAGTGTTGAAAAACGCTGCTGTAGAGGTTAAAAATCTGTCCCTTTTTATTGTAAGGGAATCCATGCCTCCATATATCAAAGCCAAGTTTCCCAACTGAGCCTCGGCCTACAGTAGACAAACTAAAGTAACATTAACAGCATATTGAGTTGCTATTGTTGCTTAACAAATCACCACAAATTCTGGGACTTAACCAACACAAACTTGTAGGTTGGATCCAACTTGGGTGTCCCTGGGCCTAAATCAAGGTAT